GATGCAGGCCACGTGAACACAGAGGCTTCACTAACAAAGATGCAGGCCACGTAAACACAGAGGCTTCACTAACTAAGATGCAGGCCATGTGAACACAGAGGCTTCACTAACAAAGATGCAGGCCACGTAAACACAGAGGCTTCACTAACTAAGATGCAGGCCATGTGAACACAGAGGCTTCACTAACAAAGATGCAGGCCACGTAAACAAAGAGGCTTCACTAACTAAGATGCAGGACACGTAAACACAGAGGCTTCACTAACTAAGATGCAGGCCACGTAAACACAGAGGCTTCACTAACAAAGATGCAGGCCACGTAAACACAGAGGCTTCACTAACTAAGATGCAGGCCACGTAAACAAAGAGGCTTCACTAACTAAGATGCAGGACACGTAAACACAGAGGCTTCACTAACTAAGATGCAGGCCACGTAAACAAAGAGGCCTCACTAAGATGCAGGCTTGAAGTCGAGTTTTCTTTTTATCAAAATGTAAAAAAATTATGCCAAGTCTCAAGAATCAGATAGGTTATATTAGATAAATAAAAGTTACTTCTGTAATAGATACAGAAAAAGGGTAAGAACTCTTCTCGTGTCTGTCATCATAAGATTACAGTCGCCCCTGATGTCACTCTGACAGCCAAAACATGACTTCTCTTTTGTTTCCCGATGTCCCAAGAGGCTTCATTTCCGCTTGGACCTAAATAAGAAAAAGACGCTCCTCTGCCAGAAAGCAATATATAGCGCAGCGTCTGAGACACATAATATCCATCCTCTTCTGGCGACCATTCAGGGTGTCTTAGAGGAGCAGATATAGGCTTAAAGATGATCGTTGCCAAAGGAATATCATCTTCACATGGAGGTTTTATCCTGAGACAACAGCGTAGCGTGTTTTAAGGCGTCTGGCTCTTCTCCAGAGTGAGAAGATCTTAAGATAATGCGTCTGCAGCGAGGGGTTAAGCTGTGGCGTTTACAGGAGACTGTGAGTCCTTGGGGGCATAAGACGAGGTTGAAATATTGCTCCTGTCATCTGTAAACGAATGGTGTGGTCTCTGAGCTGAGAGGTCCTGGCACATTGTGGCTGTAGGTCTTCAAGGAATGAGAACAAATTCTTCAATTTATGTCTCAGACGAAAAGTTTCCGAGGGTCAGGTTAAGACTTCTGGTGCAATGTTAGACTTGTCAGGACGCTTTTAAGGCCAGAGTGTATTAGTTATATTATCGTTGTTTTGTGTTTGTTAGTGAAATTTACGTGATTACTGAGTAGCGTGAGTTTACGTGTGAATTTGTGTGAGTTTGTGGATGTATATGTGTGTGTGTACTCACCCATGTGTACTCATCTATTTGTGCTTGCTGGGATCAAGCGTTGGCTCTTGGATCCCGCCTTTCTGGATTTCGTTTGTTTAGAGCATCGGTTGTGTGTGTGTATATATTATTTACTATTTGTGTCAGTGGGATCGAGCTTTTAGCTCCTAGACCCCGTCTTTCTAACTGTCGGTTATCTAGTGTACTGACTCTCGACTTATTTTTTCATCTATCATACCTTTTACATATATATCACACACACACACACACACACACACACACACACACACACACACACACACACACACACACACACACACACACACATTTAATGGAATGCATTAGGAAGCAATGTGGTGGAGGCTGACTCCATACACAGTTTCAAGTGTAGATATGATAGAGCCCAATAGGCTCAGGAACCTGTACACCTGTTGATTTACGGTTGAGAGGCGGGACCAAAGAGCCAGAGCTCAACCCCCGCAAGCACAACTAGGTGAGTACAACTAGGTGGGTGAGTACACACACACACACACACACACCTAGGATGTAGCGAGTAGTAGCTGACTAATTCCCAGGTACCTATTTACTGCTAGGTGAACAGTGCCGGGACCCTGGAATTCTGGAGTCCTTTTGAATTATCCTGGCAACCTAGTTGAGTGAGAAGCCTGTGATTGTAGGCATGTTGCCACCTCTAAACTCGCTGGTACCCCCTCCTCCCCCTTCATCCAAACCCCTCTGCCACTGTGTGCTAGGCACACCAACGTGGTGTAATCAATCCCCCCTTCCTCTTCACCATGTGTGAAGTGAAGGGTGACGGTTGTTAACCCTTCTACCCCTTGCTTCGCCCCCCCTCCCCCCCCCCACTGTGTCAGGTACACTTGGGTGTTGTTACACCTCCTCACGCGAGGCGGAGGAGGTGTAACATAGTCTTGTATTTTCCTCTCTTTGATGTTCTCTCTCTCTCTCTTCTCTCTCTCTCTCTCTCTCTCTCTCTCTCTCTCTCTCTCTCTCTCTCTCTCTCTCTCTCTCTCTCTCTCTCTCTCTCTCTCTCTCTCTCTCTCTCTCTCTCTCTCTCTCTCTCTCTCCTAATAAAACTACAATCACAGAGTTGCTATCAGCGGATCTCAAACCTCTCAACAGACATTAATTTATTAGATGAATTTATTAATATTGTCCAATAGGAATAAACTTTAATGCAAAATTTCAAAATCATGTTAGTTAGTACACGAATCGTCTTTAGTGAGTCTATAAATACTCTTACGAATTTTCGCAGAGTAAGTTCTGATTCTGATTCTGATTTCCCTTGAATTTCATAAAAGAGCCTGAATACAATACAATTTTTTTTAAGGTTCTGATAGTCCCTGATCGTCTTCATTGCGTCTATACATTCCAAAATGTCGATTTTATAAATATTTGAATTTTGATTATAATTATTCTTTAGCGATTAATTACTAAATAGTAATTTAGCAGTGATTAATCTCTGCACTTTTCCAGTCTTTTCGCATCTATTGAGAGGATGACCTAAATGCCAGGGACCAGATTCACAAGGTAGTTACGCAAGCACTTACGAACCTGTCCATCTTTTCTCAATCTTTGGCGGCTTTGATTACAATTATTAAACAGTTAATGAGCTCCGAAGCACTAGGAGGCTGTTTATAACAATAACAACAGTTGATTGGTAAATTTTCATGCTTGTAAACTGTTTAATAAATATAACCAAAGCCGTCAAAGATTGAAAAAAGATGTAGACGTTCGTAAGTTCTTGCGTAACTGCTTCGTCAATCTGGCCCCAGAAACGATTTTGGCGACACTTAAGTTGATTAAAAGCTATGGGGGTATTTAGTTCCACATACCATTCCTAGATGGCTCTGCCGACCGTCTCCGATGTTGTAACGTGACGGCCTCACGTTACAACATCGTTGCACAATCAATAACGGGAGAGAACAATCGTCCAAACGCCAAATATGTGTGTGTGCCGATTGTTGATACAGCAAGTCTTTACAACCGATTGTTGCAGTGGGGGAATATATGACGATTTTGAGATTGGAATATGAGTGTGTGTGTACTGACCTGAGTGTGTGTGTGTGGGTGTAGGTGTAGTGACTGTTAGTGACAGTCTGTGACTGTTAGCTGGGGAAGTTTTCTGTTGGGGCAGTATTGGTGGTGGGGAGTGTAGGTTCTCACTACAGTCCAGTACAGTACATTAAAATGGAGATTGTTTTGGTAAAACTCCTTGGAAACGAGTTTACGAAAACTTTGGTAATCTTCGTATCTTCGCTGGTGGAGAAGATAGAGCAAATGAAGTAGGAGAAATGAAAATGAAATAACAATAAGTAAAAGGAAATAACTTTTAAAGATACAAATTTATTTTATTTTATTATGAAAATAAAAAAAATAAAAATAACAAAAAGGAGAAGCAAATAAACCAACAAATGAATTATTGCACCGTTCAATACACGGGAATAAAATACAGGTGTTTAACATGCTGTCACATGCACGCACACACACATGTGTACACGTATGATGACCCACACATGTAAACACACACACACACACGCATTTGTTGAGCAGGTGTCGCACACAGACAAGCATGTGCGCATCTTGTCACATAAACGCACAGGTGAACAACATTGTGTCACATACACGCACACACAAACACAAATGTGGACAAAACAGTGTCACATGTCCGTACACATGTGTACAACGTATTCACACACACACACACACACACACACACACACACACACACACACACAGGTGTGAAACATGGGTTTGACACCAATTCACAGTTATATATAGGAATTAGTCCTCTGAACCTTGGCGCTTGCTGCTGATAGTTCCCTTCCCTTCTGAGCTGGATAAATATGTAGTCCAGTGCATATCGATGATGACATGTACAACATTAATATCCAATTTACGTTTATGGAAACTATAAAATTGTTCTTGATGAATAAATGTGTGAGAGAGAGAGAGAGAGAGATTGAGAAAGTGAAAGTGAGACAGAGAAATAAAATTCTTTCACAAATGCTCTCAGACCCGAAATAGCCCATCTGACATACGCAGGAGCAGAATATTACATTGCAAAACATTGAAAAATGGCTTAAAGGAAAAAAATACAAAATCCCCAGAAATATGGACCAATCTTGGATGTGGGTTGCTAAAGACTTCCTCCCCAGGTGAACAGGTTCAGGGTATCTGGGCTCTGACATTGATTAATGGTTCCTTACATGCGTCTCATTCACTGTCACCTTGGCCATCATTTTTGTGTTTTTGGATAGTTTTGCAGTTTATTGAATGTTTTCTCTAGCGTAACATATTTTAAAGGGAAACTCTTGTGTATATATTTATTATTTTTTGTCAGCACCCTTGGAAAGGGAAGTGAGAAATGGCTTAAAAAAAAATTAAATCATAAAAAAACGTAAATGTATATTGATTTTCTTTATGATTTAGTTAATAAGAAGATGAGAGGAGAAGTGAGGCTCGCCATTCATGCGGTTATTCCTATTAGGAGAATGTGTAACATTAGGTGTTACACAGGTTACACACATGGCGGGGGAAGGGAGGGGCTGTTTACCTACAACAGAAAAAGGGACAGTACAACACTTTCGCCAGCCGCTTTCATTTTCCACTACGACAACTTTTGGCCTTATGTAACGCATACGTGCGAAAAACAACGTTCTTTGTCAGAGGACAGGTTGCTATATTATGCACGCCTTTCTCTCTGCTACAGACTTCGGGGCTGTGCAGCAAGAGTTGTAAAACAACCTCTGAGAGTTGTAAGACAACCTCTGAGAGTTGTAAGACAACCTCTGAGAGTTGTAAGACAACCTCTGAGAGTTGTAAAACAACCTCTGAGAGTTGTAAAACAACCTCTGAGAGTTGTAAAACAACCTCTGAGAGTTGTAAAACAAACTCTGAGAGTTGTAAAACAACCTCTGGGAGTTGTAAAGCAACCTCTGAGAGTTGTAAAACAACCTCTGAGAGTTGTAAAACAACCTCTGAGAGTTGTAAAACAAACTCTGAGAGTTGTAAAACAACCTCTGAGAGTTGTAAAGCAACCTCTGAGAGTTGTAAAACAACCTCTGAGAGTTGTAAAGCAACCTCTGAGAGTTGTAAAACAACCTCTGAGAGTTGTAAAACAACCTCTGAGAGTTGTAAGACAACCTCTGAGAGTTGTAAAACAACCTCTGAGAGTTGTAAAGCAACCTCTGAGAGTTGTAAAACATTCTCTGAGAGTTGTAAAGCAACCTCTGAGAGTTGTAAAACAACCTCTGAGAGTTGTAAAACAACCTCCAAGGCCTAAGTGTTTTCATAATCTCCTAACTGCGTTTTATGATTCTCCTGGCTGGCTGCACCGACTAGGAGAAGGGGGGATAGGAAACACAGGCAGCAGAATTGATGTCCAACAGATATAATATACAACATGATGTCATACTTGTATATGACATGTATGTTATACGTGTATATGAAATGTATGTCATATGGGTGTATATGACACGCATATCATATATGCCACATGACACGCAGTACCTCAGTAAATCAAATTGAGGACTTCGTGATGTCATATACACTGAAGATGAATGACACCACTTGAGACAAGATGAAGTTTTTTGACATTTATAAAATTTAAATTGTGTTCTGGTGACTCGTATTGATTGATGGTACGTAATCACCCTCGTCAGATGTGCGCTTATAAGGCTCAAAACGCGCTTATAACGCTCAAAACGCGTCCATAAAACACAAAACGCGTTTATAAAAACTTAAAAAGCATTTAGAAAAGCACAAAACGCGTTTAAAAAGCTCAAAACGCGCTTATAAAAGCTCAAAACGCGTTTACAAAAGCTCAAAACGCGTTTACAAAAGCTCAAAACGCGTTTATAAAAGCTCAAAACGCGCTTATAGAAGTTCAAACAGCGTTTATAGAAGCTAAAAACGCGCTCATAAAAGCACAAACCGCGTTTCTAAAAACTCAATCCGCATTTCTAGGTCAAAACGCGCTTATCAAACTTTCTGATTGAAAATATTTCTTTCGTCACTCAGTCTTCGACGATTTTTTGTATAAAACAAATAAAGAAAAGCACTCGTGTTGATAACGATTTTTATTTTTTTAAGATTTTCTGTTTGGTCAACTGCAGTTGAATTTACATCGCCCCGTATGTATGTGTGTATGCGTGAGTGTATTTAAACATATATGTGTGTGTGGAGGTGTTTGAAACATATTTACGGAACATGTGAGCAAATACTCAGCATGTGTAGACAACTGTCACCAGAGAAGAGGATGACGAGGAGTGCCAAAATGTCGCGACAAATCATAGATGTTCTTGTGGCAGGGAGTTGTTGGTGACACCTTGCAAGCAAGAGGCTGATGCTGGTGTCCACATGAGAAGAAAGATGCTGGGATCCACAGGAGAGATAGATGCTGGTGTCCTCAGGAGAGATAGATGCTGGTGTCCTCAGGAGAGATAGATGCTGGTGTCCTCAGGAGAGATAGATGCTGGTGTCCTCAGGAGAGATAGATGCTGGTGTCCTCAGGAGAGGAAAGATGCTGGTGTCCTCAGGAGAGATAGATGCTGGTGTCCTCAGGAGAGATAGATGCTGGTGTCCTCAGGAGAGATAGATGCTGGTGTCCTCAGGAGAGATAGATGCTGATGTCCTCAGGAAAGATAGATGCTGGTGTCCTCAGGAGAGATAGATGCTGGTGTCCTCAGGAGAGATAGATGCTGGTGTCCTCAGGAGAGGAAAGATGCTGGTGTCCTCAGGAGAGATAGATGCTGGTGTCCTCAGGAGAGATAGATGCTGGTGTCCACATGAGAGATAGATGCTGGTGTCCTCAAGAGAGATAGATGCTGGTGTCCTCAGGAGAGATAGATGCTGGTGTCCTCAAGAGAGATAGATGCTGGTGTCCTCAGGAGAGATAGATGCTGGTGTCCACATGAGAGATAGATGCTGGTGTCCTCAAGAGAGATAGATGCTGGTGTCCTCAAGAGAGATAGATGCTGGTGTCCACATGAGAGATAGATGCTGGTGTCCTCAAGAGAGATAGATGCTGGTGCCCTCAGGAGAGATAGATGGTGGTGTCCTCAGGAGAGATAGATGCTGGTGTCCTCAGGAGAGATAGATGCTGGTGTCCACATGAGAGATAGATGCTGGTGTCCACATGAGAGATAGATGCTAATGTCCTCAGGAGAGATAGATGCTAGTGTCCTCAAGAGAGATAGATGCTGGTGTCCACATGAGAGATAGATGCTGGTGTCCTCAAGAGAGATAGATGCTGGTGTCCTCAGGAGAGATAGATGCTGGTGTCCACATGAGAGATAGATGCTAATGTCCTCAGGAGAGATAGATGCTGGTGTCCTCAGGAGAGATAGATGCTGGTGTCCTCAGGAGAGATAGATGCTGGTATCCACATGAGAGATAGATGCTGGTGTCCACATGAGAGATAGATGCTGGTGTCCTCAGGAGAGATAGATGCTGGTGTCCTCAAGAGAGATAGATGCTGGTGTCCACATGAGAGATAGATGCTGGTGTCCTCAAGAGAGATAGATGCTGGTGTCCTCAAGAGAGGTAGATGCTGGTGTCCTCAAGAGAGATAGATGCTAATGTCCTCAGGAGAGATAGATGCTGGTGTCCTCAGGAGAGATAGATGCTGGTGTCCTCAAAAGAGATAGATGCTGGTGTCCTCAAGAGAGATAGACGCTGGTGTCCACACGAGAGATAGATGCTGGTGTCCTCAGGAGAGATAGATGCTGGTGTCCTCAGGAGAGATAGATGCTGGTGTCCACATGAGAGATAGATGCTGGTGTCCTCAAGAGAGATAGATGCTGGTGTCCTCAAGAGAGATAGATGCTGGTGTCCTCAAGAGAGATAGATGCTGGTGTCCACATGAGAGATAGATGCTGGTGTCCTCAAGAGAGATAGATGCTAGTGTCCTCAAGAGAGATAGATGCTGGTGTCCACATGAGAGATAGATGCTGGTGTCCTCAAGAGAGATAGATGCTGGTGTCCTCAGGAGAGATAGATGCTGGTGTCCACATGAGAGATAGATGCTGGTGTCCTCAGGAGAGATAGATGATGGTGTCCTCAAGAGAGATAGATGCTGGTGTCCTCAAGAGAGATAGATGCTGGTGTCCACATGAGAGATAGATGCTGGTGTCCTCAAGAGAGATAGATGCTGGTGTCCTCAGGAGAGATAGATGCTGGTGTCCACATGAGAGATAGATGCTAATGTCCTCAGGAGAGATAGATGCTGGTGTCCTCAGGAGAGATAGATGCTGGTGTCCTCAGGAGAGTTAGATGCTGGTATCCACATGAGAGATAGATGCTGGTGTCCACATGAGAGATAGATGCTGGTGTCCTCAGGAGATATAGATGCTGGTGTCCTCAAGAGAGATAGATGCTGGTGTCCACATGAGAGATAGATGCTGGTGTCCTCAAGAGAGATAGATGCTGGTGTCCTCAAGAGAGATAGATGCTGGTGTCCTCAAGAGAGATAGATGCTAATGTCCTCAGGAGAGATAGATGCTGGTGTCCTCAGGAGAGATAGATGCTGGTGTCCTCAAAAGAGATAGATGCTGGTGTCCTCAAGAGAGATAGATGCTGGTGTCCACATGAGAGATAGATGCTGGTGTCCTCAGGAGAGATAGATGCTGGTGTCCTCAGGAGAGATAGATGCTGGTGTCCACATGAGAGATAGATGCTGGTGTCCTCAAGAGAGATAGATGCTGGTGTCCTCAAGAGAGATAGATGCTGGTGTCCACATGAGAGATAGATGCTAATGTCCTCAGGAGAGATAGATGCTGGTGTCCTCAGGAGAGATAGATGCTGGTGTCCTCAGGAGAGATAGATGCTGGTATCCACATGAGAGATAGATGCTGGTGTCCACATGAGAGATAGATGCTGGTGTCCTCAGGAGAGATAGATGCTGGTGTCCACATGAGAGATAGATGCTGGTGTCCTCAGGAGAGATAGATGCTGGTGTCCTCAAGAGAGATAGATGCTGGTGTCCACATGAGAGATAGATGCTGGTGTCCTCAAGAGAGATAGATGCTGGTGTCCTCAAGAGAGATAGATGCTGGTGTCCTCAAGAGAGATAGATGCTAATGTCCTCAGGAGAGATAGATGCTGGTGTCCTCAGGAGAGATAGATGCTGGTGTCCTCAAAAGAGATAGATGCTGGTGTCCTCAAGAGAGATAGACGCTGGTGTCCACACGAGAGATAGATGCTGGTGTCCTCAGGAGAGATAGATGCTGGTGTCCTCAGGAGAGATAGATGCTGGTGTCCACATGAGAGATAGATGCTGGTGTCCTCAAGAGAGATAGATGCTGGTGTCCTCAAGAGAGATAGATGCTGGTGTCCTCAAGAGAGATAGATGCTGGTGTCCACATGAGAGATAGATGCTGGTGTCCTCAAGAGAGATAGATGCTAGTGTCCTCAAGAGAGATAGATGCTGGTGTCCACATGAGAGATAGATGCTGGTGTCCTCAAGAGAGATAGATGCTGGTGTCCTCAGGAGAGATAGATGCTGGTGTCCACATGAGAGATAGATGCTGGTGTCCTCAGGAGAGATAGATGATGGTGTCCTCAAGAGAGATAGATGCTGGTGTCCTCAAGAGAGATAGATGCTGGTGTCCACATGAGAGATAGATGCTGGTGTCCTCAAGAGAGATAGATGCTGGTGTCCTCAGGAGAGATAGATGCTGGTGTCCACATGAGAGATAGATGCTAATGTCCTCAGGAGAGATAGATGCTGGTGTCCTCAGGAGAGATAGATGCTGGTGTCCTCAGGAGAGATAGATGCTGGTATCCACATGAGAGATAGATGCTGGTGTCCACATGAGAGATAGATGCTGGTGTCCTCAGGAGATATAGATGCTGGTGTCCTCAAGAGAGATAGATGCTGGTGTCCACATGAGAGATAGATGCTGGTGTCCTCAAGAGAGATAGATGCTGGTGTCCTCAAGAGAGATAGATGCTGGTGTCCTCAAGAGAGATAGATGCTATTGTCCTCAGGAGAGATAGATGCTGGTGTCCTCAGGAGAGATAGATGCTGGTGTCCTCAAAAGAGATAGATGCTGGTGTCCTCAATGCTGGTGTCCTCAAGAGAGATAGATGCTGGTGTCCACATGAGAGATAGATGCTGGTGTCCTCAGGAGAGATAGATGCTGGTGTCCTCAGGAGAGATAGATGCTGGTGTCCACATGAGAGATAGATGCTGGTGTCCTCAAGA